TCCCTTAATAATAAAAACCTTCATTCAAAAACTGCATGTTGTGTTCACTTGTGTTAAAGTGTGAGAAACATGCAAAAAAATAAGAAATCAGGAAGGGGGCCAACACTTTTTTACACTACTGTAGCTACAAATAGCCAGATTAAATTAACAGATTTAAGACAGATATGCCAGTTGGAGTAAAATCAAAGGAGACAGGTATGAAGTGAACAGATGGAGGTAGAGTGGAAAGAGTGGGAGAGATATTACACCTCCTCGTGGACCTTCTTCAGGAAATTGATCTCATCCTGCAGAGCATCAATCTTCCTCTCCAGCTGCACACGGTTCAGAGCCGCTTCATCCACATCCTGGAATCAAAAGTGAAATTCATGATAGCAATTTGCTAACTTAATCATGATACATGAATGAGACGAATGGAGTGTTCCTTACTTGTCTGAAGGTGTTGAGGTTGTTTTCTGCTTCTTGCCGTAGAGCAGTTTCATCTTGAAGTCTGGAGGACGCATAAGAAAACATATCTAAAAAAGGCTTTCTACAACCAAGTGCGCCACATATTCAAGATTTGCAGGACACAAATAACCCCCAGAGAGCCAAGCATTGATACTGACGGTGCGTTTTCTTCTTTTCACTCTTGAAAGTGTTTTTAGGAAGTCATAATATTTATTCGATTTTTTTTAAAGCCTTCATTTAAAACCTTCTCGGCTAGGAGGCCATCATTGACTAACTCATGAAGACAGTCACTTGTCTCCTACTGATACTTTTTTTAATTTAAAATTATATAATTATTTATATATATATTTATTTAATATACTTTCTTTTCATCAGAGAGTTTTCAACATTGATAAGAAATGTTTCTTGAGCAGCAAATCAGCATATTAGACGGATTTCTGAAGGATCGTGTGACACTGAAGACTGGAGTAATGACACTGAAAATCTGTCATCACTGGAATAGATTACATTTTAAAATATGTTACAATAGAAAACAGTTATTTAAAGCATAAGAGATAGTAAGATCACATAAGATGGTAAGCATAAGAGACTCTTACCGTAATGGTTATAGTACTGACTGATAGACTCCCCATAATCCGCATAACATCACAATGTATGCTCTATGATTTGTGGATTTCCCCTGCCCTCAAAGTGTATCCTGATTAGTTATTTATGATAAAACAGTTGTAATGAAAGGCTCACAGTGGAGGTGACCCATGATAGTGTGTTGAGACCTGCAGCAGGGGGCTGGACAGGGTTCAGTGGATTACTCATGCATCATTAACTGCTCACACCCACTGCAGCTACTGTTCTTTCCCACGGGGTGGAGTAGATGCACTTCCTTTCATAAACACCCTTCTAAACTGAGCAGCTACACCTGACACATGAGGTCTAATATACATCAATACAAAAAATTCCACAGTGTCTAGTTCGAGCATACAAATAAAAGTAATGCATGTACATCAAAAATAAGCACTTTGAATTTGGATGCACAGCTTAGTCCTAATGCAACTTTTATTTTTGTGTATTGACTTGGTTTCTACATTCTTATTTCACTTAAATGTTACTGTTTCATCAAATATGAACAGGGAATTAAATAGAGAATTGCAAGTGATACATTATATAAAATAAAGTTTAGTGGTTGAAAGAAATTTATATATACATTTTCCAGGATTTTTTTTCCCCCTGTCAGTTCTGTTTGAAGAGATTCTCATAAATGTTTTCATGCGGTTCATGCTCGAAAACCCTCCAATGTGGCTGAATTACAACAATTCTGCATAGATGAGTGGACCAAAATTCCTCCACAGCGCTGTAACAGACTCATTGCAAGTTATCGCAAACGCTTGATTGCAGTTGTTGCTGCCAAGGGTAGCCCAACCTGTTATTAGGTTTAGGGGGGCAAACACTTTTTCACACAGGGCCATGTAGTTTTGGATTTTGTTTTCCCTTAATAATAAAAACCTTCATTCAAAAACTGCATGTTGTGTTCACTTGTGTTAAAGTGTGAGAAACATGCAAAAAAATAAGAAATCAGGAAGGGGGCCAACACTTTTTTACACTACTGTAGCTACAAATAGCCAGATTAAATTAACAGATTTAAGACAGATATGCCAGTTGGAGTAAAATCAAAGGAGACAGGTATGAAGTGAACAGATGGAGGTAGAGTGGAAAGAGTGGGAGAGATATTACACCTCCTCGTGGACCTTCTTCAGGAAATTGATCTCATCCTGCAGAGCATCAATCTTCCTCTCCAGCTGCACACAGTTCAGAGCCGCTTCATCCACATCCTGGAATCAAAAGTGAAATTCATGATAGCAATTTGCTAACTTATTCATGATACATGAATGAGACGAATGGAGTGTTCCTTACTTGTCTGAAGGTGTTGAGGTTGTTTTCTGCTTCTTGCCGTAGAGCAGTTTCATCTTGAAGTCTGGAGGACGCATAAGAAAACATATCTAAAAAAGGCTTTCTACAACCAAGTGCGCCACATATTCAAGATTTGCAGGACACAAATAACCCCCAGAGAGCCAAGCATTGATACTGACGGTGCGTTTTCTTCTTTTCACTCTTGAAAGTGTTTTTAGGAAGTCATAATATTTATTCGATTTTTTTTAAAGCCTTCATTTAAAACCTTCTCGGCTAGGAGGCCGTCATTGACTAACTCATGAAGACAGTCACTTGTCTCCTACTGATACTTTTTTTTATTTAAAATTATATAATTATTTATATATATATTTATTTAATATACTTTCTTTTCATCAGAGAGTTTTCAACATTGATAAGAAATGTTTCTTGAGCAGCAAATCAGCATATTAGACGGATTTCTGAAGGATCGTGTGACACTGAAGACTGGAGTAATGACACTGAAAATCTGTCATCACTGGAATAGATTACATTTTAAAATATGTTACAATAGAAAACAGTTATTTAAAGCATAAGAGATAGTAAGATCACATAAGATGGTAAGCATTAGAGACTCTTACCGTAATGGTTATAGTACTGACTGATAGACTCCCCATAATCCGCATAACATCACAATGTATGCTCTATGATTTGTGGATTTCCCCTGCCCTCAAAGTGTATCCTGATTAGTTATTTATGATAAAACAGTTGTAATGAAAGGCTCACAGTGGAGGTGACCCATGATAGTGTGTTGAGACCTGCAGCAGGGGGCTGGACAGGGTTCAGTGGATTACTCATGCATCATTAACTGCTCACACCCACTGCAGCTACTGTTCTTTCCCACGGGGTGGAGTAGATGCACTTCCTTTCATAAACACCCTTCTAAACTGAGCAGCTACACCTGACACATGAGGTCTAATATACATCAATACAAAAAATTCCACAGTGTCTAGTTCGAGCATACAAATAAAAGTAATGCATGTACATCAAAAATAAGCACTTTGAATTTGGATGCACAGCTTAGTCCTAATGCAACTTTTATTTTTGTGTATTGACTTGGTTTCTACATTCTTATTTCACTTAAATGTTACTGTTTCATCAAATATGAACAGGGAATTAAATAGAGAATTGCAAGTGATACATTATATAAAATAAAGTTTAGTGGTTGAAAGAAATTTATATATACATTTTCCAGGATTTTTTTTCCCCCTGTCAGTTCTGTTTGAAGAGATTCTCATAAATGTTTTCATGAATCAAATTTGGTCTCTGAATGATCTGGTATGGGAAACACGCCAGCTACAGATTCTAGTTAGTTTAAAGGTATGAGATTTGGAATTAGATACAAATTTGTTTTTTCTCTAACAACAGGACATCTGCACTGGGAATGTTCAGCCATTGTGCAAGCCAAACTGAGACATTGTGCCCCGCACTGCCCCCATACCACTCAGCGAATCAGGCTTTAGTTTGAAAGGAGAGGCAGCATGGGAATAAATGAGAGTAAGAAATGGGGAGCCTCTCATTGAAAACGGAGTTGGGGTGCTATAAATTCACACAGTAACATTGTAGTTGGCAGTTTTGTACTGATGTGGAAAAAATACTAGAGTTGCTGCAGTTGTTCATTCTTTAGAGATTCTTTACCCATATTAGATGGGCAGGCTAATGGATGGCATTTCTTGGACATGGCTATTGACCTTTTTTGTGACATTGTTCTTCTGTTGCTCTTAGAATTCTTCTTGGAATGTGTGATATTTCGACCCCAGCTAAGCACATCTACTCATATAAATGATCTGACTGACTTGAATGCAATGCAAGTCGCTTTAGATAAATGTGTCCAATTGTATAAATGTAAATGTAATGTCAACAGAAGTTACCTTGAAGATCAAAGTTTGTAACATTCTGTTAAAAAAAAAAACTTTATTTCTTAGCTTTTATATTAATTTACCCTATCTTGCTCTGTATA